GAGATGAGGTGCACTCAATCTGTAAAGAAACATTAATGTAACTGAATTACAATTGTAACTGTATTAAAAAAAATACTAATATCAATTTACCTAATTGTAAGAAAAAATTAGGGTTGAGGCTGTTCGAGTTACATTTTTTTCCGGTGTTCTCCCTCTTTTGTTTTGTCTCGTAGTTCTGAAAATGTCATCTGTCTATTTATTATTGCTCTTAATATCTTATACTTTCAAATTACCCATTACCAAACCAGTTGAGTTATTTATGATTTTTTATTGCTGTTACTTTAACGGGTTCAATCTATAGGTTTTGTGTGTTGTTCCTCTGTATGTCTTCTATATTATGTATTAATTGAAATTGATAATTTGTGAGTTGCTATGCTTAATTTTACCTCTTTTAGTTCTGAATCTTTTATTTTGTTTCTCGAGATCTTTTATCTGCGTACTTCAGCTCTTTGAATATATCTTCAACTTCTTTTTTCTCATTTTTTGTGAGTTTTGTACCATCCATCTACCATGTTGGTTTTACAGATGGATCAAAAACACCTTCCTGGTTCAGGTGTTTTCAGTCGCAGACCCAGGTTAGAGATATCAACCTGCCTAGGAACCTATGCGATTGTATTTCAAGCGGAAATTTACGCTATTGACTTGTGTGTGGAGAGATTGGAATAATCCAATCTCATACATAAGTCAATAAAAATATTCTCGGACAGTCAAGCAGCGTTGGAAGCTCTTGGCTCCTACCGAGCAACGCCTAAATTGGTAGCAAATTGCCAAAAACGACTCTCCTCGATAGGAAGACTTAAATTGTCTCTGGTTTGGATTCCCGGCCATGCTGGCCTGGAAGGCAATTATGCTGCTGACTCACTTGCAAAGGAGGGTGTTGCAAGCAGCTTCATCGGACCAGAACCCGTCATTGGCATTGCTTAAGGCTTTGCCAAACAAAGATTGACCACCCGGATTGCAAGGCGATTTATGGATTTCTGGCAGAATCTTCCAGAATTGGCTCACTCCAAGGCGTTTATTCACCCTTCGAAGCTTGATACGAAACAGTTGTTGGACTACAGTAGGGATGAACTACGATGTTTAACAGGCCTTCTTGCAGGTCACCGTCATTTGAATCATCATATGCAGTGACTCGAACTGTCGGAATACAGTACAGAGCACGTACTTTGTGCCTGCCCCGCTGGGGACCGAATCAGGATTTTAGAGTTCGGCAGAGCCGAACTAACCTAAACTTAGACTTAAACTAACCTAACCTAACTATCTAAAAATGAAGTAGTGAAGAAAACCAAAAATTTCACGAAGTTGTTTTATAATGGGGGTATCTGATAAACTAGACACTTGAAAAGTCTAAGGTTGAACGAAACACCTTACAGTACTCACTAATTGACTCATTATGGCATACGTGATATTTATCAACTTCAATCAAATGGTTATTGAGCCAAATGAACCCGAGCTTATCGATGTACACATTTGCCCACGTAATAATAAATACAAAGTAGTTATGATCTGGTACATGAATAGCGAAATTTCATATTATACACCTTCAAGAATTCTCAATTACTTTTTGATGCAAATTAGTGAACTTTGGTTTTTCAAGGTTATTCGGTTCAATGAGCAAGAGGTTAATTTGAAGGAAATGAAGTTCACTGCTACCGATCTTTGATCTTTGTTTTTGTGTCACTCAACTAGGTTTCTTAAAGAATATTTCCTGTCAATACATGAGTGAATACTGAAAATCTATGTCATACTGGGAAATAAGAGTGCAAATGATTTTGTCAATGCATATGATATCACTGAAAACTAAATATTTGGAAATCACCAATAGGTTATCGAAGGTTATCAGGTACCTAGATGAATTATTTATTAAGACTACTTTTTCAGTTTTTCCATGTTTTTTATTTCGTAGTTGATCAAAAACAAAAACTTTTTTCGGGCACTATAGGTGGTTACAGTAAGAAAATAGTTGTTTAGTAGTAATGAAGCAGATGGCTAACTGACGGAAAAACGCTGTAACTGATTGTAATTGGTACATAATGATAAATAATTTGTTATTTTTTGAAAAAATTCGATCAGTATGATTCGGTCGTTATCTGAATAAATCATTATAATGGGACATTTCGATGTAAATTCCTAGATCGTCCTTGGGATCACACGTTAAACGATAAGACACTCGTCTTTCCCCAGCTCGTGAATACTTCTGAGAGTTGCTCTTCAGAGGTGACAGTTAGTTGAACTTACAGTAGAAGAACTTTTGAATAATGTTGAATGATGAATGTATAATTTTACACAGGTTTACAGCGTTCCTAATACACTTTGTATGAAGTTGTATAGCGTTACTATTCTGTGATTTGTAGTGAAAATAACAAGAAGAGTTAAATAAGGAGAGGGAGTGATCAAGGAAATGGCTTTTGAAAAGAGACAGTCACTGAGCTTTATTCCAATTGATAAAAGAGTTACGAATGGGGGATCTATTAGAATATAAAGCTTGTTTATATTCCTAAACAAGACACAATAATGAGGAAAGCACTGCCTCCAAAGTTAAAATTAGAAGTGACACTGGCCCTAAATGAGATATCTAGTGCCCTACCACGTTCACACGACGCCAATTGTCAAGGCAACTGCCGTGATAGAGTTGTGGGAGGCGTCACTGTGCCAAATCAATTGTCCTCAGTCTACTCCTGAAGATAGTATTCTCCAGATTTGCCCCCTGCGACTCTATTCTGCTTCCAAAATTGAACAGGACGGCTGACGCTGACACAAGTGTATTAATGAGTGATTTTTTTGCTGATTTTTTTTGGCAACACTGTTTTTGACAGATCACGCGTGAATCGTGTTTTGTGCCATTGTCAAACTTGTTTAGTTTGTCTGTAATTTAACCATGAATTGACTTACGAATGAATAACGCTTGCAAAATTACTTCATTTTATCATCAAAATTCATGCTCGGTGAAGAAAGAGCATCGTGCACTTCTTCCAATTTATGGGCAGTTTCGTCAGCCTACTGAGGGAGCTATTCGGAAGCTTGTGACTGAATTCCGAACCCAGTTTACATTATTGGACATTAAAACACCAACACGCATACGAGTGAGGACCGAAGAAAATATTGCAGCTTGCACCAGATACAGCTGGTGCAAGAATTGAAGCCACACGACCTCCCACAACGTCTAACATTTGGTGAATGGGCGCTGGCAAAGTTGGAGGAAGATCCACATTTTTATCGAAAAGGCTCATTTTTGGTTGAATAGATACGTTAACAAGCAAAATTGCCGCATCTGAAGTGAAGACCAGCCAGAAGCATTGCAAGAGCTACCGATACATCCCGAAAAAGTCACTGTTTGATTTGAATTATGGGTCGGTGGCATCATCGGGCCGTACTTCTTTAAAGACGACAATGGCCGGAACGTTACTGTGACTGGCGAGCGCTACCGTGTGATGATTGACGACTTTTTGTTGCCCAAAATGGAAGAATTGGACATGCCTGACATGTGGTTTGAACAAGAAAGTAACACATGCCACAAGGCACGCGAAACAATGGCCCAATTAAGAGCCGTTTTCGGTGAACAGATTATCTCACGTTTGGGGCCAGTCAATTGGCCGTCTAGATCGTGTGATTTGACGCCTTTGGATTATTTTTGTTGGCTCATGCTAAGGTTCATGTCTACAGGGATAAACCAGCAACGACTGACGCTCTGGAAGCCAATATTGAAGCATTTATACGTAAAATACCGGTCGATATGTTAGAGAGAGTGTGCCAAAATTGGACTTTGCGCATGAGCCATCTAAAGCGGATATTGATCGTTCTATATTCCAATAAAGAATTCTTCAATTTTTTCAAATGTGTTGTGTTGTTTTGAAAATCAATTCCTATACCTCTTAAAATATCACTCGTTATATCTAAGGGGGACTACTTTGAAGGGGACAAAATAGAAATTGATGAATAAATAAATATGCTTTAAAAAAAATGAAAATTCATTTCGAACCAACATTTCAAATAATATTGATCAATTTCAACTATGGAAATAATACAATGAGTATGTATGGAAACATACAATAAGTATGTATGAAAACATACAATTCTATGGATGGAAACGAGTATGAAAATGCTTGAGAAAGCTATTGTATAATGAAACACACATGTTGCGGTTTTTACGGTTTTGTAACCTGTCCAGATTTGCAAAAAGTTGACAAAATGATGAAATCAAACTTAAACTCTTTCCATATCCATTCTATATCTTAAACAGTCAAGCATACACCTGGCAGTGAATAACATTGTCGAAATAAATAGTAACATCGACATGAAACATGAAATCAAATCTAATAATTTTTCCAAAATAACAGTTCAAACTGTTATGGTTGAATAATTGTCAATTTATATCAATTATGGCATTCGTACTAACATTATTCAAAATATGAATGAATTATAAATATATTTTTTGAATTAGTACATTGCTTGCTATATGCTACTTTCATTGGAACATTGCAGTAGACACTTTTGTTAAGTTTCAAACTGTCAGTCGTTTTGAGGCGCGTATCCATATGAGACAATGTAACGTAACACTAAACATGTTCGGCTTGTTGATAGATTACACGATTAGTTTACAGAAGCATTTTCAATATGACCGTGTCATTTATTGTGTTTTACGTAACCGAAAGCATTACATGGGATATCTATATACTCGCCCTAACGTGTAGAGTGCATAACGTTACAATCCGTTGATGTTACGGCAAATTATAGTTCAGTTTGTAACGGTTACGCGTATCGAAGAAATTATGGATGACATTCAACAGTATCCAGTTTCCACTAACTGTAACGTAACATGTTCACGGTTACGTTACGGCTCGTAACGCTTCTTCACACAGTGGCAGTAATATATAATATGATTTTTCATAATCATGAATATAGATCTAAACCACTCATAGAGAATCATGATTGATATATTTAGGCCACATTATTTTTCTTGTCATTAAACTGACTTATATGTTCTCATGATTTTGTTTCAGATGTCAATCAGTACAGTGAGTTCAGGTACAAGACGATTTAGAAAATCTCCTAGTTCAATTCTCTCTTCTGACTCGGACATAAGGTTCACGAGAAAAAAGCTGACATCTCAGTACAAATGCGGATGCTGCATTATTGCCACATTTCTTCTCTTTCTGCTCTTAGCAGCCACAGCTGTATACTTAGGATGTAAGTATCAATTGCAAACTGTGCAATTCATTACAAATTATAACATCATTATATCGATTTCTCTCACTTTGCAAAATGTAGCCGAAAGTTCAACCTTATTTCATAAAAAGGCTAAGTTACTAACTGATATAATTTACTTTCAGATATTCACTATTAGGGTTTTCAAAATCGTGATATCTTTCTCAAGTGAGAACGAGGAAGCTATTGAACAGCGAAACACGTGTCATGGTTTTTGTAATCGTGATCAAACTCGGAATTTGGTAGTTTCAAAAGCATTTGTAATCCTGACATGTTTCCATACTAGTGTCTCATCAGTGTTATGACAAGTCAATGGCTGAATCATAGGGTCAAGGATCGAAACAAAGAATTCTGCTCCTGTCACGATGACACTATATAAAACATTCATTCGGTTATTAATAATTATTCAATTCTAATTATTTGACTTCCTCTAAAAATGCCCCGTTTTCAATTTGAATGAGATTCCTATGGATAGTATTGTATCTGATAACCTCAATACTATTTTTATGTTTTTGTGATAAGGGCAGAATAGTGCAATCTTTTGCATTATCGTTCGTTATCCAAAGTACAGAAAGGTGCTGAGAAGGAGTTGAATGCAAGTGGTATATCTCAATTTGGAAATATAAGTTTTTAAAAATATTTATTTTGGAACAAGGAAACTGTGTTTCATTGAGTTACAGAATACAAAATATAATTGGAGATTAAACGTAACTTGAACAGGACTGTATTGCAACTATAACTCATTCATTCCGCCACGCAGTATGTATTTATAAGAAAATAAATGATTACATAGTCTGAAATTGAAACGAAGAAAATAAATGTCATTTTTATTTTAGTTTAGAAACTGCGTATTGCTGGATGTTGATTCACCATAAGTCAGCATTGACATTGATCTTGTTTATCTATGTCAAATTGAGTAGAGAAGGTCAATAAACAACATAAACCACAAGTATTTTCGGCCTGACACTTTGAAAAGTGCACCTTAAGAATGACAGAATTTTATATCAATACCCATTCATATATTACGTTATGAAATCTGTTCTAATTCCATAATACATTTCATTTATACATTGGCAGTTCCAGAAAAACAATATAAAGTGTTAAAATTATTATTTTCCAAAAGAAATCTATATAAAAATGCTTCATTACAATTTGGTATTTTATGGTTAAAGTTATTCCAAATAGATGAAATAAATAACGATTTAAATTTTTCTCCATAGCTGGGAATTGTTACATATCATTTCACCACATGTTCGTATCGAATGTAATTTCTTGATTCATTTGAAATCATTTTTATTGCTATAAAGAAATAGACCTTTCAATCATTAGTAAAAAAAGTCGATAAATATCAAGATTTATGTAAAAATTCCAAATTCGAATAATTTACACAAAATCGGGTCTGAAACAATGTATAATCATATACAGATCAAAAAAGATTTCCCCTAATGAATATTTCATGTATTTGCATCGAATCAGTTGACTTAATGGTGTTTCTATATCTACTGAAAGCTGAGTGATTTTGAAATTTCTAATGATTGCAGTTCTTTAGTATATTTCTTGCACTTTCTACTTGGGAAGATATATTTTATATTGAGTATATGACTTTAGATGCACTTTACGTTCGATAAAAACTGCACGCACTTTTACGTTCGATAAAAAATAATTACTGTTAATGACAATCCGCCGAGAAACATTCCAGTTTTTTCATTTTTTCTCTCGTAAAATTTCGTCATGGAAAATGAAAACAATAAACATTCGGTTAGCACCGAATCAAATTTTCAAAGCTCTAGTTAACATACACCAACTGTAATTGAATCTCGAAGATGAATAGTTAAGTACCTTTCACGGTATTTAATAATAACAATGCACTTGTTACCGCCATTAAACGAGTTATTCCAAATATGATATTTCCTCTGAATACATTAGTTTTCATTGTATTCGAATGCCCTTGCTTTGACACTCCTTTGCTTTCTATTCCTGTAAGAAGAACAGTATAAGTCACGATTTGAAATACCACGTTACAGTGTGATTCTCCGGTTCAGCTAATACCTTGGTCACGTTTTATTGGATTTTGTTCAAAATTGCATTCCGTGAAATAACATTTTTAACTTGTGAATAAAATATATACAAATGAATAAATACAAATATGAATGTTCAGTCACACGATGAAAAATAGTATGGGATATACTTTCCCTCTTCACTGCTTGATTCCAGTAAGACGTTATAGTTTTCATTGAAATTGGCGCATTCTTTGAAAAGGCGTTTTCTCAATCAACTGATACAATTACACTTTGAATAAAATGTTCTGGCTCAGTTATACATTATGGAAGAGTTGGTGGTGGAAGGAAGAAGAAAATCTGTAGAGAAGGAATAAATCACCAACTTTCCTGCAATGTTCTGAAGTCATCAAACAAATTGATCTACTTTGTATGAAGTCCAGATATTTCAGAGTATACCGGTATGCTGTGTCTCGCATATCATCATCTAGTGCTATTGCTATCTATCATAGATCTCATCAGTGATGCAAGCTGGGACATGCATACGACACTTGAACTCTTACGTCCTCAACAAGAATAACTGAGTAGGAAATGGCGATTATTTTAACCCTTGCGAAGAGGTCATGAGATCGCCAGAAGACTCAACCCACGAATATAATTGATAAAAAGGTTTCCAAGACAGTTCGTTGCAAATCCAAGCTACAATTTCTATTTTGTCCCCTTCAAAGTAGTCCCCCTCAGATATAATACACTTGTGCTAGCGTTTTTTCCAATCCTCGAAGCAGTTCTGATATACACGTTTTGGTATGTTCTTGAGCTCTCTCAGCGATTCGGTTTTTATCTTCTCAAGCGTCGCAAAACGCCGCGCCGTCCTTTCATGGACCTTTTCGATTTTGAAAACAAAAAAGAATCACAGGGGGACAAATCTGGAGAATACGGTGGCTGAGGCATGATTACGATGTTGTTTTTGTCCAAAAACTAAAAATCAAGCAATACCGAGGGAGCACGTACATTATCGTAATGCAAAAGCCATGAATTGTTTTTCCACAATATCGGACGTTTTTTTCGTTTTGCTTCTCGCAATTAGCGCATGACTTCAAGATAATACTCCTTTTGATGCACTGTTCAGAACCTCTGGTGTAGTAATGAATATTACTGGAGTTTTTTCCCAACACCAAACCTTCATTTTAACACCTCGACACGTGTTTCGATCACCAAGTTATTATTTTCAGAAGGAAGATCAAATTTGTTTGGTTTGCTTCTGAGCAAATCTGGATCGCCGTTAACGTCAATCAACAATTCCTGACCAATTGGCGTGCCAACTGCACTGCCAGTTGTCCTGAAATTCTCCAGGGGTAGACTGAGGACAATTGGATTGGCGCAGTGACACCCCCCACAACAAACCCATAAGGTTTGTTCTGGTTCTGAGAAATTCAGGTTCTAGGACGTCAGGATCATGCGCAGTTGATATAGAGCGTTCTAGTTTATTGAGGATAATTTCTGACTGATGAATCATCTGTTCTGGTTTCGACTGCGAAATGATTCTAAACTGTTTTGAACCGTCCCGAATCGTTGTTGCTCTCGAGGCTGAAGTGTTGAGAACTGTTCCCGTTGCTCATACGCATTAATGTGTAAATTTGTTTGGGCTATTTGCTAAGATGTTTTTTTATTTATTTGATTTGAATAATTGATGATTGAGGTTAGATAACATTTGAACTGACTATAAGGATACGCTACATAACAAAATGGGCATGATCAACGTGTAACGTGTAATGTGAAAAATACAGAGAATTATTTATGAACAGTGTACATGATATGTCCTAAATATGTTTCATGTTCAGACTGTTTATGATTTGTACTATCTACTGATTTAGAATTGATGAATTGTTTCAAGTTGACGNATGTGAAATTTACTGAAAGAAAAAGTTCTTCTACATTTAGTCCCAAGCTTGTTCTTGAACTTTGAAACTAATGCTTCAGGAATAGAAAGCATATCAGCAAAAACCATCAGAATGATAAAAACAAATAGTGTTGAAGACGAGGTCATTACCCCCATATTTGAAGCAGGAGACTCACATTTTTTCAATAATTACTGACCAATATCGGTCACTAGTATATTGCAAAATTTTATGAAAAAAGTATAGCCAGCAGGTTACAAAATCAAGTCGATTACCACCAACTAATCTCTCCCAAACAATTCGGGTTCAAGGCAGAAAGTTATACTGAGGAGGCACTGCATTATTTCAAACATGAAATTTATATCACCTCAGTAAAAATGATGAAGTGTTGAACATCTTTTTAGATTTAGCTAAAGCTTTTGACAGCATTTCACACGAAAAATTTTTGAAAATACTCGAAAAATACGGGATTAGACGCTTACTGCTATCGTTATTTAGGATATCTCTCGTTAAAAAAAAATAATGTCAGTGAATCTTCGGAAATCAAATATATTCTTCCTCAGGGAACAGTCCTCGGCCCTAAGTTATTCCTTCTCTATGAAATGTTGAATATGCGGACGATACGGTTCTCCTGTTCCATGGAACAAATTGGTAAGAAGTTACGAAAGGCCCGGAAAAAAGTATATATTAAGTCAAATGTTGGATGGACTGTAATCTACTAAGCTTAAATGAGATCAATACTAAATTCATAACTTTCACAAACAGCCCAAAAGTACAACCCATGCTGAAATCAATTAAATTTCATGAGATATGTGATCTGACCAACTGCTATTGTGAGAAGATAATTCAAAACACTTCAGAAATCGAATATCTTGGAGTTATCACCAGTGAAACGATCAGATGGGATAATCATTCAGTATATTTGAATAGCAAACTTAAAAATCTGGTATTTTTATTTTATAAACTCGGGGAAATTCTTCCTATAGAATCTGTAATGTCCTATGGAATAATTCCATGGGGAGCTGCCTATACTATTCAGATAAATTGATTGAAAGTCACACAGAAATGGATTTTGGAAGTAATACTAAGAAAAAGGCGCAGATTTTTCACCGAACAGCTCTTTACAGAAAGTAAAATACTCGATTCAACACATCTGTATATTATTGATATTGTGAAATCCATTTACAAAAATAGAATGCAACGTCAAGGAATTTTCCACAATCACAGTACAAGACAAAAAGGTCTCAAAAATTTAAATATTCCCATCGTAATTCTACCCTTTATGAGAAACATTTAATATCCCTAAAATTTACATTTACATGCCAGAATCCATCACTAATATTTATAGTTACAAACTGTTCTGCCAAAAGCTGATGTCCTGCATTTTCACGAACCCTAGACCTCTTGAAGTACTCATACAATGAATGTCAATACATATTATATTCTGTTATTCTCTTAGTTCCTCAATTTCTTATACTNGAATTCTCAATTACCTTTTGATGCAAATTAGTGAACTTTGGTTTTCAAGGTTATTCGGTTCAATGAGCAAGAGGTTAATTAAGGAAATGAAGTTCAGTGCTACCGATCTTTGTTTTTGTGTCACTCAACTAGGTTTCTTAAAGAATATTTCCTGTCAATACATGAGTGAATACTGAACATCTATGTCATACTGGGAAATAAGAGTGCAGATGATTTTCATTTCATAGGAAGATAAACTGATAATGAATATTTTCATTTTGTCAATGCAGATTATATCACTGAAAACCAAATATTTGAAAATCACCAATAGGTTATCGAAGGTTATCAGGTAGATGAATTATTTATAAAGACGACTACTTTTCCAGTTTTTCCATGTTTTTTATTTCGACGTTGATCAAAAACAAAAACTATTGTCGGGCACTAGGTGGTTACAATAAGAAAATACCTAGTTGTTTAGTAGTAACGAAACAGATGGCTAACAGACGGAAAAACGCTGAATACATATACAGCGTATATGTATTCATGCATTCGTATATGTATTCATGTAATTAGTGAGTACTGTAAGTTATTTCGTTCGACCTTAGACTTTTCAAGCGTCTAGTTTATCACACACCCCAACTTCGTGAAATTTTTGGTTTTCTTCACTATTTCATTTTTGGATGGTTAGGTTAGGTTTGGTTAGGTCCAAAGTGAGTGGGTCTATTCGACCCTCCACCGCAACCTGCAAGGGTTTATTGTGCCTCACACCTATTCACACTCGACCAAATGAACCCAGCTTCTTAACGAAGCCGATCAGTTTGTACGGTGAATGGTCTTTCAGATCAGATGGTAAGTCCAGATGGTAAGTCCAACTCTAAAAACCTGATTCGGTTCGCAGATGGGCAGGCACAAAGTATGTGCTCTGCTGTTTCTTCATCATTTTCCAAACAGAGGCGACACACACTGTCTTCCGACAGTCCGAGTCTCTGCATATGATGATTCAAATGACAGTGACCTGTAACAAGGCCTGTTAGACATCGTAGTTCATTTCTACTGTAGTCCAACAACTGTTTGGTATCGAACTTCGAAGGGTGAATAAACGCCTTGGAGTGAGCCACTCCTGGAAGATTCTGCCAGAAGTGAATAAATCGCCTTGCCATCCAGGTGTTCAATCTTTGGCAAAGCCTAAAGCGATGCCAATGACTGGTTCTAGTCTGATGAAACTGCTTGCAGCACCCTCTTTTGCAAGGGAGTCAGCAACCTCACTGCCTTCTAGGCCAGTATGGCCAGGAATCCAAACCAGAAACAATCTGTTAAGTCTTCCTACCGAGGAGAGTCGTTTTTGGCAATTTGCTCGGTAGGAGCCAAGAGCCTCCAACGACGCCTGACTGTCTGAGAATATTTTTATTGACTTGTGTATGAGGTTGGATTCTTCCAATCTCTCCGCACACAATTCAATAGCGTAAATTTCCGCTTGAAATACAGTCGCATAGGAGGTTCCTAGGCAGGCTGATATCTCCCCCCAGAACCGGAAGGTATTTTTGATCCATCTGTGAACCAACAAAGNAATGAATATTTCATGTATTTGCATCGAATCAGTTGACTTAATGGTGTTTCTATATCTACTGAAAGCTGAGTGATTTTGAAATTTCTAATGATTGCAGTTCTTTAGTATATTTCTTGCACTTTCTACTTGGGAAGATATATTTTATATTGAGTATATGACTTTAGATGCACTTTACGTTCGATAAAAACTGCACGCACTTTTACGTTCGATAAAAAATAATTACTGTTAATGACAATCCGCCGAGAAACATTCCAGTTTTTTCATTTTTTCTCTCGTAAAATTTCGTCATGGAAAATGAAAACAATAAACATTCGGTTAGCACCGAATCAAATTTTCAAAGCTCTAGTTAACATACACCAACTGTAATTGAATCTCGAAGATGAATAGTTAAGTACCTTTCACGGTATTTAATAATAACAATGCACTTGTTACCGCCATTAAACGAGTTATTCCAAATATGATATTTCCTCTGAATACATTAGTTTTCATTGTATTCGAATGCCCTTGCTTTGACACTCCTTTGCTTTCTATTCCTGTAAGAAGAACAGTATAAGTCACGATTTGAAATACCACGTTACAGTGTGATTCTCCGGTTCAGCTAATACCTTGGTCACGTTTTATTGGATTTTGTTCAAAATTGCATTCCGTGAAATAACATTTTTAACTTGTGAATAAAATATATACAAATGAATAAATACAAATATGAATGTTCAGTCACACGATGAAAAATAGTATGGGATATACTTTCCCTCTTCACTGCTTGATTCCAGTAAGACGTTATAGTTTACATTGAAATTCCCGAAAACCAAAATGTGGGTAAGACGAAAAATTGAAGTTCGAATTTTTTTCTTTGAAAAGGCGTTTTCTCAATCAACTGATACAATTACACTTTGAATAAAATGTTCTGGCTCAGTTATACATTATGGAAGAGTTGGTGGTGGAAGAAAGAAGAAAATCTGTAGAGAAGGAAGAAATCACCAATTTTCCTGCAATGTTCTAAAGTCATCAAACAAATTGATCTACTTTGTATGAAGTCTAGATGTTTCAGAGTATACCGGTATGCTGTGTCTCGCATATCATCATCTAGTGCTATTGCTATCTATTATAGATCTCATCAGTGATGTAAGCTGGGACATGCATACGACACTTGAACTCTTACGTCCTCAACAAGAATAACTGAGTAGGAAATGGCGATTACTTTTACCCTTGCGAAGAGGTCATGAGATCGCCAGAAGACTCAACCCACGAATATAATTGATAAAAAGGTTTCCAAGACAGTTCGTTGCAAATCCAAGCTTCGCTACACTTGTCAGGAACAGAAAAGTTCATGATTCGGCTATTCGGCAGATTACTGGAGGTAGATCAGAAAAGTGATGGCTGAATTTCAAGGCTTTTGAGCTCTCGTATGAATTGCTTGACTGCTTGCAGTGGAAGTCGTACAAAAAAGCACAAGGCGAATCTCGATTGCTGATCGTTGTCGTTGCAAAACTAAGCTCTGCAACGAACCACCTTTGGAAACCCCTTTCATCGATAATTCTGTTTGAAAATCTGTTTAAAATCTGTTTTTTCGTTAGTCAGCTGTCGCCCCCCTACGAACAACAACCCTCAAAAGTTGAAACTTGTGCGAGCTAAGGATTAACGAGGTATTATCTTTTAATGTGTGATTCCTAACACGGGTTGGACGATAGCAAGTGAACAAAACACCCACGTCGAACCACTTGGCTACCGACCGAGTCTTCTAGTAATTTCACTGATAGCGTCTTCCTAAGATATTTTTGTATTTTCCTACATGAGCAATATTCGAATGTGGTTCAAATTTGGGATTTATAGAGTCAGAAGCTACTGGAGAAAAAGAAAGCCGAGTTTTCAAGATGCTGTTTCGGCGATGTTTTTTTGCATACCTACTCATCTCATGAGTATTGCTAATAGTTACTCCTTGCAAAATAATAATGAATCGTGCACTTTTAGATGAACAGATTTGAATGGTAAAAATTAACTCCGCATTTCAGTAGCACTGAACTACACAAGTGGTTGCTTCTATTGGTCTCGTTGAGAGTAATCGATGGAACAGTTTTGCATGACCACGCGGAGTACCATCTATTGCAACGCCATGTGAAAATGTTCGACAACAATGTTGATCAGCCAATCATTCCTCCAAATCGAGGATGATTCAGTTAGTTTTTGGTATTAGTTGGACTCTTGAGAAGATGAAGTAGACGAGAATAGTGTTGCGGTTTTGGTGGTTGGAAACAATGCTGTTTTGGATTTATTTTAACCAGAGATTCCGATTCTACCTTTTAAAGTCCACATTGTTCCGTTCGAAAATTTGATGACCGTAAATCCGATTTTGGGTTCTTTTCTCATTTTTTTTAATCTCAAACACATCAGTTTTGTTCCTCTACATATTTTTTTTTTGTTAATGGATTTTGAGGTCTGTAACGAAAGGCCCGTTGCTTTCAAGAGAAATATTTTATACAACTTTTCATAAACCAGAATCTGTTATTTTGCCATGCAGTATAGCTCTTCATCGGGTTCATTAGAGTAGAAGCATAGTTTTTATTCACCAGATGGAGCTGCTACTTAATAACATAGTTTGTCTCAGTATCAAACGTACCTACAAGCGGTCGACTTACGACGAAATCATTCGGGTCCAGAACACATTGATGTGTTGATAGAATCTGTTCTGTACTGACTAATCACCAACATACATTCACGTCCCTGTGATTTGGAATATGAATCACCCTGGATTGCGGAACTATCATCATTGAACAAGTGTTTTTTTGTTTCAGATACATTTTTTCTTCCTCAAAATCCAGACGAACAGATTTTCAGAGCAACCTTTAGGGTGATAGAGGGTGATACCTTCTCTTCCGATCTGGCAGATCCTAGTACAAATAAGTTTAAGAATAGGTCACGTGATTATAGAGAAAGGCTGAATCTGCTGTTCAGGAGGAGCTCAGTAAAGCATGGTTATATGGGTACTGAGGTGCTTGCGTTGGATGGGTAAATATTATAAAAATCATAACATTGCCATAGTTCTAAGAAACATTATAACAGAACTTTATATCAGAAGAATGTTCAACATGTTTCTACAAAAAATTTGAATTCACATAATCCGCATAATCAAAATGTACTCCATAATACTATTTTTATTTTATTTATTCTAACTTATGGCAGTAGGTGATCGTGAATGCTATTAGTCGTTGTAGTGATTGTTTATGATCTGTGTCTAATAACATGTTTCTAATGAAGTGTTGATGTTGATCAATAATTGACCATCGAATTTGCTTTATTTCTGAAAGTATTGAGCAGTAATTATATGAAACTTAGTTGTTTCGATGGATACTTTTTTACAGATGCACATGTTTCACTCACGAATGAAATGGTGTTTGATATCAATATCATATTGAATCATATGAAGGACATTTCTCTAATCAATCAATTCACTTGCTGCCATGTATTCCACCACAGATCTGGAAAGAGGAGTAGTTGTCACCGTATTTTAAAGAGATTTGATGCTTCCTGTCGGAGCAGAATTTCACCAAAGGTCTATGTCCTCTAATAGCTTCTCGTTTCCTTTTCTTGAAGATTTTGGCAACTACTGAATCATTGGAACATGAATTGTGGATTGAAGTGTTTCTGAAACCAATTAATGAATTTCTGGAACCATGAATCGAAGTGATTTATTGTATTTTAGGAGTGTGCGAGATTTATAATTTTCAAGCTTATTCGGCAAACATATAATGGTTATTTTGTATCTTGATTTTTGAAACGCTATTATAGAAAAACATTGAAGGTTAATATTGTTTGCAATAATAAATTCGTCTCTCCTAGAACGGAAGACAAAGATCTCATAGTCCACTTCAACATTCACATCGACCCTTACTACGTAAACATAAAGGCCAAGGACTTAGAAGCCATCTTAGCCAATGAAATTTCTGTGGAAGAATCTCTATTCTTCAAGAATCTCACAATCGACTCTACGAGTCTGGAGGTTATTCCTAGTGATGTTCTTCCTAGAACTGGAACAACTACCAACCCAACAACACTGTCTCAGGCTGTGACGAAGGCACCCGACCCTCCCAGGAGATGCTGATTGTNAGCCACAACGTTACTACATATCCCAATATTTTCACCCACAGGGATATTAGGGAAGTAAAAAATGACGTTATATCATTTAGAGAACTGGTGAGTTGAAGGCATTATGAAATAATATGTTCTGTTGAGAAACTCTACAAAAATTTGTTCTAGTTTAACTATATTATGAATATTGAATTACACGGAAACCACTTTTTTCTTATTCAATTTTCACACCATATATTCGTTATTCCAAAAAGTCTTAGTACGGAATAATGTCTCCAAAGTTAGTGAAGCTGGAAAAACGAAATTCGGTCACTTACATATGTACAATTGAAATATACTTCTTCGCGCATTTACAGCGTATACACCCATGCAGGTTTGATTCCAAGGGGCTGCGCTCCAAAACCGTACCTATATGTAGCTCATTATGAAGGCCTTGAAGAAACAAACATGTCTGCACAAAATAGAGGTTTCTACGCGAATTCGTTTCCGATTAATAAGTAACTATGTATTTAGGTACTATTTATTCAAGTACATCCCGATTTTTTACTTGAAACTAATTCAAAAATTATAGGAAAACGACTCGTAGAACCCAGTAAATTTAGAGTAAAGATTTGTTAGGTGTGTTTGGAATATGAGTACATCGGAATTGAAATACCGGCAAACTCGATGTGAATACCTAACAGAATAATCTGCAGCTGCCATGAAATTTACTCACAATGAATTTAAAATAAACCCACCTGCAAACAATCAGGTCGATGTATATAACAATGGCAACAAGAATAAAAATTTCGTGATTTGAATAAAAAGTAAATATTTTAAAAACGAGTAAATAAAAAATATCTACAAAGGACATCAACGATATTATGTTCTATATATTCAATAATTTCTTTTTCAATTCGAACATTGAAATCATTTTTTCAACGGTGTAGACACGTCTACAATTACATGTATCAGTATATCAGTATAATACAGGCTGATTCAAATTTGAGTGCACACAATTTTCAACTTCAGTATTGAAGTTACAATAGTCTTTCTGAACAATTTTTGACTTCCAAGGTAGACCCAATTCACATTTCCAGCAGATTGGAGCAGCATCTGCTCATAACTGCAGTTTCGGGTGACATTGTTTCAATGACAAATCGATAAGAATGTATGCAATAGCCTTCCGGGTCTCCTGATGATGTTTATTTCGTCTTTTCCCTCCTCATAACTTCTTCATTGTCATCTTGCATGCTTTCATAATTGAAATATCAAAAAATATTACATGCAAGGTTTTTTTAATAAAAAATGGTATCACACTCATGAGTGATTACTTTGTTATGTTATTAAGGAATTGAAATCTTGATTTCTATGTTGAATAGTTATTCATTCTTGATACGAATTGCTTTGGATCTTAGGTACATGATTTTGTTACAAAATCCGGTCTGGTTCTAATTAGTATTTTTGCATGATTTCATTACTTTAGTGCTTGTAAATTTTAAGAAGTTTCTGCAGGGATTTCATGGCTGGATGCGGAAGCCGACTGCAAGGGAAGATTAAGGAATCTCTGGACTGCAGTAGATTTCCAGAGTTTGGCAAAGACGGAAATTGCTTCACGAAGCCAGGTGAGGAAGCTTTCCAATATATTTTAGTCAGTTAAATCTCTAATAGAGCCAACCAGAAAAATCAATATTTTCAAATGAAATTCTATATATTCACCTTTATCAACTTCAATACTCTGTGGGATGGGACAGATGTATGCCGGAGAATAACTATTTGTCTGGCTAATAGCATGATGGATTTGTGTCATTTTCCTGTTAGAGAAAATTCTTACAAATGTTTCTCATTCGTCCAGCAGCAGGAAATCGTCAAACTCAGTCGAATGAATACCTACAGCCCGGTTTCAGATTATTATTCCTTATCAGTGCAGGGCAGATCCAACCGACTGATTTCATGTTGCTCTGTCGTATATACGAAAACTTCGACTGTTTTAAATTCCATGAAGTAGTGATATTCCCCATTTGGAGATTTGTTCATGAGACAGAACTGTATATCCTCTTTCAGAGAAAATTTCGTTCATGCACTGTGGTAATGGTGAAGTTAGTCGAATCCCAGATACACTGACGTTTTGGTTGAATTTGTCCTGCACTAACGAGAAGTAATACTCTGAAACTGGTCTGTAGGTGATCGATTGTGTTTGATGTTGATGTTTATTGTGGTGTTGTGATGTTGTCCGGGAAGTATTTTTGTGTCAGCCATTCTCCATATCCTGTGTAGAAACGCTCGAAATGATATTCAAATTTTTATATTAAAATGAATGTATCTCTCTTCGAAATAGTCGAAATTTCAGTGCCTAACAGAGCAACCAGGATACTGAAATAGGTTGAATAGACGAAAAAACCTGCACCCAGAAGAAAAAAGGAAGTAAATGTGAATGTGATTATTCTACCAGAAAAAGTGAACATAATTCCTAATGTATCTAAGTAATAAGTTGACCCATTCAATAGGCCCAAACAGTGACCATTCATAACCACTAAGAATTACAAATGTTCCAATTACACTGTATTCTGGGTATAATGATAAAAGGTATTTGAAGCAAATAACACAGGCACTCATGAAGAACAATTGAACTGATCCAGTACAATGCAGTGAGATCGTTGACAAAATACTCTTACAAAAAAAATAAACTTTCTTTTATTGAATGTCTTGCCTGAAGAAAACTCCAATATATTTCAATTGACAGTGGTGCCCATAATGGGTTGGTGGTTCTTTTTGAAAAGGCAATTTGTTCAGTGATAAATTCAATCGAAACAATATCACTTTTTTATATATGAATGTAGATTTCAGCTTATTACTATAGGATTTCTTTAAGCGATTCTAGGCCAATTTTTTCCACAAACTCAAATCAAAGCGCTGCCGAAACAGTCCAAAAGATTAACCATGTATTTGGCATTGATAGTGTTAACGAACGCACTGTTCAACGTTGGTTTGCGAAATTTCGTTCCGGAGATTTTAGCCTCGACGATTAGTCCCGAAAGAGTCGACCTTCAGTAATACAGGACGAAGATTTGAGGTCCCTGGTGAAGACTGACCTATCACGAATGGTGCGTCCGATGGCGGAAGAACTGGGTGTCAGTTCTCAAATAGTTTATGATGGTTTGAAACGTACTGGAAAGGTTGATAAACTCAAAAAGTGGGTGCCCCACGATTTGAACGACAGACAGAAATTGTCACGTTTCAAGGTCTGCCCTTCATTGCTTTTGTGCAACCAAACGACTCTTTTTGGATCGGATCGTCACGTGTGATGAAAATTGGATTCTCTACGATAACAGGAGACGTTCAGGGCAGTGGTTGGACATCCATGATCCACACTAGCACTTCCCGAAAGCGAAAACCCACCAGAAAAAACATGGTCACTGTATGGTGGCAGCGGCTGATATGATTCACTATAATTTTCTACAACCGGGCCAAACCATCACAGCAGAGTCCTATTTTGAGGAAATCGATGTACCGATGTACCGATGTACCGAAAATTGCGTCAGTAACAGCCGGTCAACAGAAGAGGTCCGATCCTGCCCCCAGACAAGGCTCGTCTGCACGTTTTACAAATCACCATCCGAATTCAGTGTTGAATTCTACCTCAACCACCATACTCCCCAGACCTATCGCCAACCGACTATCATATTTTGGATAACTTTCTAACCTTCGCCAATCAGGATCAGGCAATAACAGCTTTCGTCGACTTCATTGAATCACGAGCAAACAATTTTTACGCTGATGCAATCAATCGACTTGTGCTGCGTTGGAAAAGGTGCACTGATTCAAGTCGCGCTTAAATCGATCAAATTGATTAACTATTTACTGAGATATTGCAGTTCAAAGTAGACACATAAAAAGGACAAAACTTTTATAACAGTCCAATTGTTCTTGCAGAAGGAATCCTACTATAAGTTTACTTCGTTATTGCTTGAAGAAGTTGACGAAGATATCAAACTGAACCGTGTTAGGGGTGCATCACAGCATGATTCGACTTTTTCGGTGTTCTCCTATAAATAATATACAAGTGTAAATATTGATAATAGTCGACTGTTAAACACGCTGATCTATTGGAGTACTTAATAACAGTATTACTGAAACATATTTTCCTATTTCGTAGAGATCTCCCGCAGCTAGTCATTAATTGAAACATGCATTAAACATTTATTACTGTTATTATTTATAAATATTATCAAGCCTCATTGGAGAAAACGTGTTCAATGGGTCTTGTGAATGTAATAATTACGGTATACGACATTGTAATTAATTAGACTCAGTTCAAAATTGAAAACTCGTTATCTTGTACGGTAATTATTACGCCATAACCAGAGAAAAATAAACAATTTCTTCAGTAAAATGTACGATTTCATATTTAATCTAGAGAGAATGATGAATTTTTCATAAGATTCAGACCAAGAAATTATTTTACCGTATTCCAGCATCCTCGCTATAGTGACTATGGTTGATATATTTTCTTTTTAATTTCATGTGAAATCTTTGACTGTAGTTCTCGATATTATCTAGTTAAGATAAACCCATCGCATTTTTTTCTTGCTATCCCCCCATCAATGTACTACCTCTCGATATGACGACCGGACCTGACAAGAATTCTCAAATTCTCTTAGAGAGAAGATTGTTTGAATGTGATATACAGGGTGGGGCACCGAAAACGAAACAGATCGAATATTTTCACAACACATGTGTTCTGAAAAAATGCAAAAACACGGTTGTAATCCAAGGGGGACATCTTCCTATCATAACCTCAACTGTCATACCTCTTCCCCCACCCCTCGGTGACTATCGCCCAAACAATTTGAATAGGGAAAGTAGTAAGTGTGATACATCGGTAAAGAAGTAATTTCATAAGGAATTCAGCCATGTCAATTTTAGCTACCTAACTTTCGATTTTGGCGCCTTCTTGCGGGAAAAAAAAACTGTTCCGTATTCCAAATTATGATACTTCATTCGCAAGCTAATTTGACATAAATTCGGTGACAATGCATTATGGAGTTTTTCTAGGGGAAAAAACAAGATGGCAGCTTCACAATGGCGAACAATATTTGCAATTATGGTCCGATTTGATTCAAAATTGATAAGTGGTGGTTTTCAGGGTCGGACATTATGAATTGTTTTTCAATTTTTTTGGATTTTAAATCCAAAGGGGACAGTTGAGGTATAACAGTTCGATGTGTTTATGCATTTTTTCAGAACACATGTGTTGTGAAGGTATTCGATCTGTTTCGTTTTCGGTGCCCCGCCCTGTATATTCGAGGACTTCCAACTGTAAAAATAGCCTCAGAATAGTTCGAGGATTTGTATAGAAGACGGATAGTTCGAAAGCAAGTGACGAGTTAACATTGCACCTATCGTCACTAGGTGCAATGATTATTAAACGCTGGTGAAGTGTAGTGTTCAGTTGTAACTTTCAATATCGAATAAAGTTGTTGAATATGAATAAGCAAATCATTCATTTATCAAAGAACCAACACATACGGATAGCAGGAAACATTATCACTGATTAGAAGCACATGTTCAATCAGCCAGTTTCTCAACTTGAATCCTGAGTTGAGTGTAGATGCCTCCCCTGTCAGTCACTGTTACAAGAATTGAATACTTACCTGTTACAAAGATTGGATCGTTACCGTGAATAGTAAAGCATCATTACGAGATATCAAAGTATCTCTACTAAGGGAAAATTTTATCCTTTCTGATGCATCAGAACAGTGCGCGAACATTATTGTATGTTTGGCGCTTACGTTCGTGTCGATGTAAAATCAACATAAGTTGTTGGACTTTTGCCTGTGGTGGTTCGTTTACAACATGGACGTCTACATCATAGGCATAACAATATTATTGATTGTTGCTCTTATGATCGAATTAATATATATAATGCTAATATAGAAATATAGGCTTTCACAGCTGGCGTCAATGTTTTGATTGGCATCCGGGTTTTGCCGTGGTCTTCTTTGGTTATAATCTCCAAACGTTTAAACTGCAACTGCGGCAGTCATCTTCAGTGGCGTGGCAGAAGTACTCTTCTTGACGTGTCAACTGAAACTGAAGCTCTTATTTCTGCCGTCTCATTTAAAGTGCTGATTTTCCGCGCACTTTCACTAATGGCGAGTTCGCGCATAGGTACTTTCCGCGCGATTTGGATGGCTTGGCTTCTTTTTAGCGCTTTTCAATGCTGTGTGCCAGATCTTTGGTAGGCATGCTCTCTCTTCCTTTCCGTTGAAGTTCTCTTAGTATTTGTGTACCTATTATTTCTATGGCTTCTAAATATGTTCTTGTTGAATAATGATTTGACGTTGCTAGCCTCTCGGTATTTTCGAACAGGATCTTGTGTTTCCCATCGGACAGTATGTTCAGCGACTGCAGACTTCTCGGTCTGTCCCAATCGGCAACTCCGCCTGTGCTCGACTAGGTGGGTACCAAAGCTTCTTTTCGTCTGACCGATATAGACTTTACCACAGTTACATGGAATCCTGTAAACTCCCGCTGATTTGTGTGGGTTTATGCTGTCTTTTGCTGATTTCAGATACTTCGATATTTTCTTCGTTGGTTTGAAGACGGTGTTAATCTTCTCGTT